GTCAAAGGAGGTATCTAGAGAGAACTGTCCTCAGGAGATGTGGTCATCATCAATGCCAAATCAGTCTGGATTAAGCTGGTTCATTAGCATGACTGCCTAAAGGGATGCTACATCTTGTTTAGTGTTTTTAATGCCTTGGGGATAGTGGACTGTTAGTCAGGTGGAAGATAAAGTCAAAGGAGGGAAGGTACCTGCTCAGAGCCTATGCTTTTAAATTAAGCTAACCATACTCAATGAAATGCAGTATCAAACCCCAAGGAATGTTCCCAATTATTGTCTTGGACTCTTCATTTCACTTTGCCTTGTTTTTTTATCAAGTCTCTAATTCTGTTTTTACCTGGCATTGACTTTCTTGACTCCCCTCTCCTCCCAGCTTCTGGCTCTGTGCTCCCCCTTTAGACTTGATGAGTATTCTGGCTTTCCTGCTTTTCACCTCTGGCGCTCCTTCGAAAATGGGTTAGGTTTCTCTTCTGGCTCTTTCTACTTCTGCTGCTCACAAGTTTTGACCCTACTCAGCCGAGTTTTGATCGCAGGACCCTTCCCGGCCTTGACCCGACTCAGCGGCATCCGCGCTGGGCTTACCTCCTCCAGGCGGGGGCATGGGCAAGAGGAAGGAGCAAGCAAAGAGCAAGCAAGGAAACAGGAAGAATCTCTGGCTCAACTTAAACTGTGCAGGGCACTGAGGCCTTGTTGGCTGTCCAGTCTCTGCCTCCTTCTTCCTGTGCTGCTTTCATTCCCTCCTGTCTGGCTCTTTGAATTTTTACTAAGTCTCCACCTTCTAACTGGTCAATCCTCTTCTAGCATCCCCTTATAAGACTTAAACGGGAGTGAGAGTAAGTGATATCCATTAGCCAAAATAAATCTGATAGCAGGGAGAACCTGCTGAATCGCTAGTGTCTTTATAGCACTTATCAAATGCCATTTAACCATATTAGTTGGCAAACTGCTCTGGCTTCCCAGAGAGTCAGCTGGTAGGTAAGTCAATAAATATCTGTCAAATGAATGAATGAATGCACACTAGTTGTGTAGCACTGCATCAGGTACTATAAATAATACAAAGTGTAAGATGTCATCCTGGGCTGAAGAAAGACATCTTCTCATGCCCATTCACAAAAGGACTGTTGTGAAATATCACCGAGGGCCAGACCAGGTTCACTATTTCTTCTAGAAAACAAGCAGTCATCTCTTTTTTTGGTGAAGAAGATTCGTCCTGAGCTAACATCTGTTGCCAACCTTCCCCTTTTTCTTCTTTTATGTGGGCCACTGCCACAGCACAGCCACTGAGGAGAGGTGTAAGTCTGCACCTGGGAACTGAACCCTGGCCGCCAAAGCAGAGTGTGCCAAACTTAACAACTAGGCCACCGGGGCTGGCCCCAAGAAGTCATCTCTTAATGCACAACCACTTCATGTGGGCAAAAGGGAATGTGAGCAAAGCCCTGGTTATGGCATAACACATGCCCATGGGATAACGAACTGTCGAAGATAAACACCGCATTACTATCAGTGGATTTTGTACATAACTTATTAATAAACAGCAAAATGCATAAAACATAAAATGAGGAGAACGGAGTGATCACCCATAGACCCACCATCCATGTCAAGTCACACAACGTTGATATCGCCCTAGAAGCCTCCACTCTCCGTCTGATAATCTTTTACTTTTTGTTATAATTTTACCGCCTTTATAAACTCCTCTAAAAAGTTTAGTTTTACCCAGTTTTGAAATGAAAATAGATTAAAAAAGACAAAAACAACTGCATGCACATTCAACATTGGACATAAAAAAGAAAACTAGTTTTTTAATAAGTTATTTTGAAGTGTACAATTTCTATTGGTGATCGAAACATTCTTTAGTCCACTTTTATGTTTGATGATCTGCTAGTCACTCCACTCCTAAATACTTCAAGGGTATTCTTCCCAAAACTGCCTTTGGTCTTATACTAATGATTTCCTGGACTCAATGGAACTTTGCACGAGACTGAGCTCATCATGGTGAAATGGATGTTAACATTCCACAATCACCACTGTAATTATTCCTAACTTGTATTTTGCTTCAAAAAGTCTCTTGCCCTGCCCCCTAAAGTCTGTGCTTTCAAAATGCTATCTACAGCTTTAATTATACCTGACAATAAACTTCTCTGACCACAAAATCTGTTTGTTCATGGACTACACCCATCATTATCTTCAAATATCCTATTTTTTGTGTGTGTGTGAGGAAGAGTAGCCCTGAGCTAACACCTGTCGCCAATCCTCCTCTTTTTGCTGAGGAAGATTGGCCCTGGGCTAACATCCGTGCCCATCTTCCTCTACTTTATGTGGGATGCCTGCCACAGTGTGGCTTGATGAGTGGTACATAGGTCTGCACCCGGGATCCCAACCTGCAAACCCCGGGCCGGCAGAAGCGGAGCGCGCGAACTTAACCAGTACACCACCAGGCCGGCCCCCAAATATCCTATTTTTCAAAAATCCCATTTATATCAGGCTCCCAAAGAGTTATATTAGCAATGGTGTTTTTAACTGTTTCTCTAATTACTGTTTGTAATTACTGCAAATCAAAGTTGTACAAATGATTGGATGCTGATTGGATGCATCTACCAAACTGGGGTGAAATGGTCCTTTAAACTACTGTATAGTGAACAAATCTATTAGAATAAAAACTGAAATGGAACTTGGGCAACTTGGTCTCCATAGAGAAGCCAATCAGATGGTGTAGTGTTAACAAGGTACTTCGAGTCCAGAATAATCCTGCTAATCACACTTCCTCCAAATTAACCAGCTAATGTCAGTTTCCATAAAAAAGAGGTCTTCTTGTGGGTTCCAGTGAGATAGGATTTGGGAATGCAGAGAGCAGCAGGGAAAGCTGCTGGTGTAGGATCCGTTAGAGCAAAGGACAGAAGACAAAAAGGAGAAGGCTGTATTCATGAGAAGTGATCTGGATCATAAGTGCTGTAATTATAAGCTTACATTGCCACATTGCTTTGTGAAACATAATATTTTTGTTCATTAATTATTTTCCTTGATTCATGTTTCATATTTTTCATGACGTAATAAATAGTGAGATCTAGTCTCATTTTTCTGTGTATTTGGATACAGTGAGTAGAATGCCCTGGCTGAGTCACTAGTTTCACACAGGGGAGACTTGAGAAAAAAGATGGGCAAGGAAGGTTAGGTCAGATTAAGGAAATCCCTAAAATGCTTATATTGGACTTTATCCTTCAGCAATCATTTAGTGTTTCTTTTTTTTTTTTAATTGGTAGCACCATTAGGAAAATGGTGTTTTTGAAGGTTTCTAAGAGGATAAACGCCCTAGGCAGGGAGATTAGGTAAGAGGACATAGCAATAATTCAGGCATTAAGAAAGAAGGTTATACTGGGCTGGTGATGGTGGCAATGGATTGGAAAGGAAGGAAGGATGGATGCAGCATTGAATTCGGCTTCTTTCCCTTTGTCTTGTCAGCCACTTAGGTTTAATACTATTCAGTCTTCCTGATTCATTTCCCTTCCCATTTATATTTTCCTTCTTCCCTTGATAATCTACTTTTTCTTTTCCATTTTTCCCTCTCTTTCCTTTGCCTACATTTAAAAAAATTCTCTTATTACCTCCCCAATAGGATGATGACTGAATCAGTCAGGCAGATATCAAATGGGAGATGTGGGTAGAAACTAACCACAAGGTTTACTAACTGATTAGAATATGTTGCTGCTTTAAAAAAAATTTTTTTTGAACCTTTTATCTTCAGTTAGAAAGAAGGAAAGAAAAGAGAAGAAAGGTAATGAGGGAAAAAAAGTAGAATGAGAAAGGGAGAGAACAAGACTTTCATTCATTCATTCATTCAAGAAGTGCTATGTTGGGCCAGCACGGTTGTGCAAGTGGTTAAGTGCGCATGCTCCGCTGCGGCAGCCCAGGGTTCGCCGGTTTGGATCCCAGGTGCGCATTGAAGCACCACTTGTCAAGCCATGCTGTGGCAGCCTCCCACATAAAGTGGAGGAAGATGGGCATGGACGTTAGCCCAGGGCCAGTCTTCCTCAGCAAAAAAGAGGAAGATTGGCAGATGTTAGCTCAGGGCTGATCTTTCTCACAAAAAAAAAAAAGAAAGAAAGAAAGAAGTGCTGTGTTTCCAGAGAAAAAGACAGAGCCAAAGAGACAGAGAAAATACCTCACAATAATTTGTGTTACTGTAATTGTATTATATATTTCCCCTTCTCACTCAGTTGGGTAAAGTAGAAATGCCAGAATGGGAGGCTAAAAACTAAGGTGAGATGGGCAGTCTCCTTCCCTCCCTTTATGTCATTTTGGTTCTCATATCAAAAGGTGGAGTCTACTCCCCTCCCTCTAGGCCTCAACAACTGGCTGAACCAATAGGATGCTGTGGGAGTGACTTTCTGGGACTTCTGAGGCTAGGCTGCAAGAATCCTGGGTCTTTTGGAACATTTCCTCTTAGGATGCTTTCTTTTGTAACCCGCCACCACTCTGAGAGAAGCCCAAGTCACATGGAGAGGCCACATGTAGGCCCTCCAGTTGGCAGCCCCAAGTAAGATAATAGCCAGCATCCCCTGCCATCCTAGGAGTGAACCATCTTGACGTCCAGCCCAGTTGGGCCTATAGATGATTGCAGTCCCAGCTGACATGTAACTGCACTTCCTAGGAGACCCCAAGCAAGAACTGCCCAGCCAACCACAGCCAATCCACAGAATAAGAGACAAGAATAAATTACTGTCTTAAGGTACTACACTTTGGTGTGGTTTGTTATTATAACAAGAGATAACTTCTTTCATCCCTACATGAGACAAAAAGAATACTTTATCAAATGTCTGAGAGATTCATATGCCACTCGGAATACAAGTATAATTTTTATGTATTTCTTTTCTTTTAAAGATCACTTTATTACTCATTAGCCTTGAAACTACAATCTGAACTGACCTTGATCAGAAATCCTAAGAAATGCTTAAGCAAATATTTTAAGTACTGGTACATTATCATATTTTGAGTACTGGTTCAGGACAAAATGATTATCAATGTGAAAAACATAACTGATGTGTAATCAGAAGATGGAGTTTAAATCCTAGTTCTGTCATTTATCACTGTGTGACCTAGTTTCCAATGTTATAATGTATTTGTAAGTATTTAGTGATGCCCGACAAAACACAGATATTCAACAAATCTCCATTTCTTTCTTTCCTATGAAAATCCTGTGCTCATAAGTGCAACCATGTGGAAGCTTATCTTACTGCTTCCTAAAACTGAATATTTTTATTTCCTTTGATAAATATTTCCTAAGTTTCCATAGTGTTGGCTTTACTAGTGTGATCTACCTCACTTTTCCTGCGGAATAGCTTAAAAGATTTTGGGGACTCACTCTGTTGCTAGGTTCTCACAAAGGCACTTTCATGACGACCTTCTTTGGTTTTCAAGGACATGACCATGTTTCATGTCTTGAATGTGGTTCCCTACTCTAGTGCAAATGTTAACAAGTGCACATCAAATAAGAATTTTAAATCAGCTCACGTTTATGTATTTAAATTTAAGAGTTAAATTGATAACATACCCATTTGCTTTGATTTGAGATGCTATGTGATTGAAAAATTTTTAAATTGAAATAGAAGTGAATTACCTTATTTGAATTTACCATTTTTGCATAATAAGGGCGAACTAATTTAATTTGCATTTATCCTTTTAAATGACTTACCTGATGTCTGCTGAGATACTCAAGGCCACATGATTAGTGGAGTCATGCCGAACATCACTCTGTCTCACAGGGTTGGAAAGTACACGTGCACCTTGTGAAGCTTGGAGATAGATGTTGCAAGCTTGACCTTTTCTCCATTGTTTTTCTGTTTTGTTCCCCTCATCTCACTGTAGGCTGCTTTATGTTTTCCAGAGGGACACACATTGCATTTGGAGATGGTCCTCCTTTTGCAACTCTGTTCTGATTTTATGTTACGTTTACTCAGTGTTGAGCTCACATCTCAGTTCTACAAAGGGAGGGCTGGTTATTAATCCGGTAACATATGGCTGGAATCCCCAAGACAGTGCTCTTTATGGGGACTGAGGTTCCTTTAGCAAATACTGCTTTTTGATGATGCATTTTAATGAGTCTTTTAAAAATCTGAACATGAGTCTACCAGCTACAGTTGTAGCTGAAACCCATAATTTCAGAACAGTGTTTTTCAAACTACAGGTCTTGATCCGTGAATGGACTATGAAATAATTCTAGGGGTTGTGACAAGCACTTAAAAAACACTGGAACAAAATGGAATAGATAACATTAGAGTGTATTACATGTAATAAGGGGACGTAAAGTTTCAAAAAACTTTTGTATTAGTTTTGTGCATGTATGTGTGTATACTGGTTTATATAAAAATTATGTCACATATTTTTTTGAGTTGCTGTCAAGAGAGTTTGAAAGCCACTGCCTTGGATTTAAAGCTTTCTGAAAGTTTTACAATATAACAGTTTGAAATGAAGCCCCAACAGTATATGTAAAATATAAAAGTGTAGATAGCTTTTAGTTACATACTTTAAGGAGACTGGCAAGTTACTTTTCCTGAGAAGCCTAGCCCTGGGATGACTGGGCATTTTCCAAAGGGCCAGGAACCAGTTATCCCAATAAATGGTAGGAGCCCAAATGCTCTCTCCCTGGGAGGCTCTGAGGTAACAGGTTCCTCATCTCATCTGTGATGTTGCTGGTGCCTTGCTGCAGCGGCTGTTGGAAGTACTGTGTCTTCCCTAACCACACCAGAAGGACCCAGTTTTCCAAAGGTCTCAGGCTACCATAAAGATGGCATCACACTTCTCCCCCATTCATGGGACCTGCACCTGGCTTGGAGAGCGGAAAACTCCAACCCTTACCTACCCTCTTTGCTAGAGAACCTCCCTTTTCCTTCCCACTGGGTCCTGGGAAGACAGGCGGCATCAGTAAAGTTACTTCTGTGTTTTTGTGTGAAGGTCGACTCCTGTAGAGAGTACCATCCCTGGAATTAGAAAATTAATCCTCATCAGAGTAATGGAGGGTCCCCCTTTCAATCTGCTAATGGGCTTTAGAGAGAGATGGCACATCTTTCTGCAGCTGACAGATGCCCCTTTTAGAGGATCTATGACATCTTCCACAGGTCTTCACTCAGCTAGGCTAAAACACTTCAGAACCAAAAGAATCCTCAGGTCAGGAAGGGACTGCTTACTTTTCTGGCTCTTGCCCTCTGAAGGTTCCCAACTTCTCCTCACTTTGCGATATATTATCTCTCCCATTAAAATGGTTGCCTATTAAACTCATTAGTGGAATCTGCCATATTGTGTCACTTTTTCCATCTGCTTATGGTTTTAAATTTTTTTTCCATAGAAAGCCCTGACCTAAATTCTTTACTCTCCTTTTATAATGCTTTTATTTTGACCTTACTACTGCTGAAAATCAACCAAACTCCTCATCACTGCCTCTCCCCCCAATCTCCATCAACATTTTCCTGTTATCCAGGTTTTTTTTATATACACTCAAGAGGCAGTCAACAAAGATGGACCAGATCTTTCCAGGGGACTTTTTTGTTTCACATGGGACATTTTCAATAGGAGCTTTCAGATGTATTAACAAAACAAAGTAGATAAATTTGTTACCAACATTAGAATCTCATTTTAAAATATTTTCTACAGCTCAAAACGTGGCATAAGGCAGATTCCTATAAGAGAAAGGGCCTTATTATAAGTTGTCTTGAAGACCCTGAGATTGTCCTTAATAGCAGTACTACGGAAGGATATCAGGCACATTCTCAGTCACCCCAAGAGTTAATTTAAATAGAGAAAGTGAGATGGTCTCCCAAAGCACTGGAATTGATTTTACCCTGAGCCTCTCCTCAGTTTTAAATTCTTAAAATCACAGAATATGGAAAAGGAAGAAACTTGGTGTTCATTCTAACCGTCTGATTTTACAAACCAGGATATTGAGGCTCAGAGGGACAAAGCCATTAAGATAATGCAGTTATTTAGTTGGTTACTTGGATTAGGGTGGTTTCAGAAAGGATGCAGAAAAGTAGAAATATTTGAGAGCCATTTAGGGACTGTAATAAAGAGCACCAATTGACTGGTTGGTGGTGGGATGAGAGACTGAGCACTGAGGGAGAGGGAAGATTCAGAGATGTTGCTTGAGTCTTTAGCTTTAGCATCCAGGCAAATGGGAGGCATTCATTTTGAAAGAGGACATATGGAGAAAAGTATCTGCAGAGAAATATTGCAAGTGCAGTCTGGGAATGCTGAGTTTTGGGCACCTTGTAAAATCCAAGACAATTACTAAAATTGAATATATACAGGAGGAAAACCACGAGACTACTGAGTTATGAAAGTTTAGTAAAAAGACTGTCTCCAAGAGGAAGTTATCATCATCCACAGCTACTGTGAGGAAAAATGAGACAAAGATGGAAAGGTGTGCATTAGGCTTAGCCGTAAGGAAGGCATTGCTGACCTTGGCAACTCCTAGAAGAAAACAGGGAAAAAGCTCCTTGACCTCAGTCTTCACAATGGTTTTTTTGGATAGGACACCAAAAGCACACGCAACAATAGCAAAAATAGACAAGTGGGATTGCATCAAACTAAAACGCTTCTGGACAGCAAAGGAAACAATCTACAGAGTGAAAAGGGAACTTACGGAATGGGAGAAAATCTTTGCAAATTATAATAATAATTATAAGGGGTAAATAGCCAAAATATATAAGCAAGTCATACAACTCAACAGCACAAAAGCAAATAACCAGATGAAAAAATGGGCAAAGGACCTAAGTTGACATTTCTGAAAAGCCATCCAAATGGTCAACAAGTTTATGAAAATGTGCTCAACATCACTAATCCTCAGAGAAACGCAAATCAAAACCACAATGAGGTATCCCTTCACACCTGTTAGAGAAGGGTGATTATCAAAAAGACAAAAGACAACAAGTGTTGGTGAGGATGTGGAGAAAACAGAACTCTTCTACACTGTTGATGAGAATGTAAATTGGTAGAGCCATTTGGAAGACAGCATGAAGGTTTCTCAAAAAAACTAAAAGTAAAACTACCCTATGATCCAGCAATCCCACTCCTAGGTATATATCCAAAGGAAATGAAATCAGGATCTCAAAGAGATATCTGCACTCTCATGTTCATTGCAGGATTATTCACAACAGCCAAGATATACAATCACTCTACATGTCCGTTGATGGATGAATGATTAGAGAAGATGTGGTATATACACATACAATGGAATATTATTCAGCCAAAAAAAGGACGGAAATCATGACATTTGCCCCAACACGGATAAACCTTGAGGGCATTAACGTTAAGTGAAATAAGCCAGACACAGAAAGACAAACACTGTGGGATCTCAGTGGAATCTAAAACAGTCAAACTCATAGAAACAGAGTAGAATGGTGTTTTCTAGGGGCTGGGGAGATGGTAAGTAGGGAGACGTTGGCCAAGGAGTACAAAGTTCAGTTATGCAAGATGAATAAGCTACGGAGATCTAATGTACAGCAACGTGACTACAGTAAACAATATTGTATTGTATTCTTGAAATTTGCCAAGAGGATAGATCTTAAGTGTTCTCACCACAAAGAAAAAAAGGTAACTATGTCAGGTGATAAATGTTAATTAGCTTGATTGTGGCAATGAATTCACAATATATACATATATCAAAACATCAAGTTGTATACCTTAAATGTATACAATTTTTATCTGTCATTATGTATCAATAAAGATGGAGAAAATTCACAACAGCCGTGAACAGACATCTTACTAAGGATATATAGATGGCATATGAACATATGAGAAGATATTTAACATCACTAGCCAATAAGGAAATGCAAATTAAGACCATGAGGAGATATCACTATATAGCTATTACAACCACAAATACAAAAAATAGTGACAATACCAAGTACTAGGAAGGACAGGAAGTAACTGGATTTCTCATACACTGCTGGTAGAAATGGAAAATGGTACTGCCACTCTGGAAAATAGTTTGGCAGTTTCTTCAAGAACAAGACATATACTGACCATACAACCCCAGTCACACTCCTGGGCATTTATCCCAGAAAAATAATAATTTATGTTCACACAAAAACTTGAACATGAACATTCACAGCAGCTTTATTTATAATAGCCTAAGCTCAGAAACAACCAAGAACTCCTTCAATAGATGAATGGCTAAACAAACTACGATACATTCACACAGTGGAACACTATGTAGTAATAAAAGAAATAAACAATTGATACACACTACATCTTGGATGGACCTCAATCTCAACACATCAAATACTGTATGATTTCATTCATATAATGTTCTTCAAATGGCAAAATTATAGAGATGAAGAGCAGATTAGTAGTGGGCAAGATCAGGGAAGGTGTGAGAGAGGGACGGGTATGATTATATTATAAAGAGGCAGCATGAGAGAAACATTTGTGGTGATAGAATAGTTCAGTATCTTGATTGTGGTGGTGGTTACATGAATCTCGACATGTGATAAAATGGCACACAGCTATTCACACAATGGTACCAATGTCTGTTTACTGGTGTTGAGACTATATTATGGTTATGTAAGACATAACCATGAAACTTGTGAAGAATACAACTGTGCTAATTCCCATGAATCTATAATTCTGTCAGATAAAAAGTTTTTTAAAAAGTATATGTAAAAGCCAAAACAATCTGAAAACATTTTCTTCTTAAAAAGATAAGCCAGAGATGGAGAAAATGTTTGCAAAACATATATTTGATAAAGTTGTGAACTTCTTCAACTCAACAATAAGACCAAAAAAACAAACTAAACTCAACAAAAAATGGGCTAAAGACTTGATCAGACACTTCATTGAAAGAGATTATAAATGGTTAAAAAAAAAGCATATGAAAAGAAGTTCAAGACTGTTAGTCACCAGGGAAATGTAAATTAAAACTCCATAAGATAGAAGATACCAACTAAAATGGTTAAAAATAGGTAAGAGTTACCAAAGCATCTGTTGGTAACCAAAGAGCAATGAGAATTCTCAGGCATTGCTCATGGGCATGAAAAACAGTAGAGGCAGCTTGGACACATTTGGCAGCTTCTCATACAATTACATATAAACTTACCAGAAGACCCAGCAAACCCTCTCCTAGGTATTGACACAAGAGAAATGAAAACATGTCGACACAAAGACTTGTATGTGAATGTTCTCAGCTGCTTTATTCATGACCACCCCAACCGGAACAAACCCATGTGTCCATCAACTGAAAGATAACACACTGTGGTTTATGCACACAAAGGAACACTACTCAGGACAGAAGGAATAAAGTAGTGATACACACATGCACTAGTCTCAAAAGCATTCTGCTGAGTGAAAGAAGCCAGACAAAAGAGAGAATATACATTATGATTCCATTGACAGGAAAGTCAAGAAAAGGCAAAACTACTGCAATGGAAAGCAGACCAGTGATTGCTCTGAGGGGTCTGAGAGGTAGGGATGGAGGGAGGAGACTCACTGCAAAGGATAGAAGGATCTTTCTGGGATGATGGAAATATTCCAAATCATGATTTTGATGATGGTCATCTACTTTTCATTCTTGAAAACTCACTCATTTATACACTGAAAAGTGCTGAGTTTTATTTTCTGTTAAATACACCTCAACAAAAGTGATTAACAGTTAAAAAAGAAAAACAGAATTTGCAGTCTAAAGGGAGTCACATGGTAAGGTCTGCTCACCACGGAGACGAGGTGGCTGTAGCTCTCCAGCATCGTCACGTCTCTGTACAGGGTCCTCTGTGCAGAGTCCACCTGCC